AAAGAAAGACAGAACGAACGAAGGAAAGACAGAAGAAAGGGAAAAAGGAAATGAAGAAAGACATAAATCAAGAAGAAGAAAACGACAAAGAGAAAGAGAGACATGAAGACAGACATAAGGGAAGGACGTAAGGAAGCGGGAAATAGACGCAAAAACAATCGCCAACTAAACACAATAGTGAACGGAAGCAAGAAAAACAAACGCCAGCAAACAGCGCATATCCGAAGACTATCTTTTTAAAGCTTAGTTTAGTGCTTCACTTTCTTTTAGTCTTTATCTGTTTTCTTGATGTGCTTCATTTTCTTTTAATGTTTATTTGTTTTTCTTGATGCTTGTTTTAGTGCTCAAGTTTTTTGATGCTTATTTTAATGCTTAAGTTTTTGTTGATGCTTATTTTAAGTTTGTTTTTGATTCTCCGGTCTAGTTTTTTTTGATGCCTATTTAGTTTTTTTTGATGCCTCACCCCAATAACCCGACCCTTCTCAAGCCCTTCTAACCCCATGAAACCCTGAACCATCCCATTCCCATGATGGAGCTCTACCAAGACCTCCTAAAAAGGGACACTCATTGCTAACGAAAGCTCCTGCAGGATGGTCTCCAACTTCTCCGCCACCAGTTGCAGTCTGACTTCCAGCTGCTTCAACTCTTTTCCTGCTCTAACGGTCAAGGCACCGAATCTTCAATTTTCATTACTGGGTTGAGGGTTTAGGTTTAGGGTCTAGGTATCACTCGCGCATGGCAGGCATGGCTTCGAGGGGTCTTAGCAAGGTTTAGGGTTTACGGTCAAACCGCATGCCGTCGATCGATAGAAACACCTTCATAAGGACCCCTTCAAACCAAGGCCCGTAAATTACATAAAGTGCTTACAACATAACACACAGCCCTAACTCCCCAACCCCTGGCATAAAACCACAAAGCCTTTCAAGGGATCTCTAGGGCTCCTTTTAAGGGATCTATAATATAGATCCCTTCAAGGAGCCCTATAGATCCTAATAAGGATTCTAGAAGGGTTCCTTCAAACGCGGTCCCTTCAACTATGGGCAGCTTAGCTTCCGGTGGCTTCCCGGCTCTTTTCGGGGACCTGGTCCATGCCGCCGAGGCCTGAAAAGCAAAGAGTTTCGGGCTTAGGGTTTGTTTTTTTCGGGTTTCGGGCTTAGGTTCTTTTTTTTGAAGGGTTTAGGGTTTAGGGTTTCGGGTTTAGGGGTTTGGGGTTCTCATGGATCCTGTATTGAGAAACGATAGGGCTTGGGTATAGGGTTTAGGTGCTGAGGGTGTGATGTAGGGGGCTTGTAGGTGTTGATAGGGCCTTTTCGTGTCATTGAAATTCAAGGGCTTTCTGCAACATTCCAACACATGTCTTTATGGGGCCCGTTCACATGTCTGAAGGGTATTACAAAGGACTGACATGGTCTCAATTACATTAAGGTTTATCTATGGGGCTCTGTCAGAATCGTAGGAATGTAAGGAATTGGAGATTCGCTGAAGTCGGGACTTGGCGTTAACATGTGGCTTGTGGGGTTTTGGGGGGGCTGGTGATCGCAACTTTGAGTTTGCAGTAGCCGACTCAAGCTGGAACCAAACCCTAAACCCAGGGATTCAAGCCCTCCACAGCAACAGTAATTACCCGCCAGGCCAGGCTACCAGGTCTTCCAAGGCTTTGAGACGGGAGTGCTATACAATGAACCCTGAGGCCCTAAACTCTAAACCATAAACCTTAAATATTATTATTGCATAGCAATCCAGGCCAGTTCTTTGGTTCTGACGCCAAGAGCCGGGTTGAAGGCTTTTCTGCTTTGGGGGGGGTGTTCAAGGCTTGGGGGTTGCCGGCTTGCGGTGTAGGGGTTTTTGCTTTTTGAGCAATTTAGGGATTTAGGGCTTTACGGTTCACTTAAATCGACAACATCGAATATTACAGGTGCCATCTTTCTGCGCCGTCCCAGCTGCGAGCACGCAGGAATGCGGCAGCTTGCTGCACCTGGAGACCAGCAAGCCAACTCTAGCTTGATTGTTTGCACTGCCAATCTTACTACGCCCAAGACCCCTAAACCCCACTCATGCCATGCAGTTGTCGTTGGCTGTTGGCCACCATGCGGATGATGACAATGATGACCATGAGGATGATGGAGTGGTAGCAATGCTGCTGGTGGTGATGCACACTCTATGCGTTTAAACCAAGCTTCCCAGAACCTCCTTTCAGCTTGTGGAGTGTAGGTGTGCAGTAGCTTCATAGCAACTTGAGACGCCTGGTGTGTTTTCGTAACTCCCGACCTTGGTCTGGCACTTGCCAGCTTCCGTCCGGCATCTTGCTCCAGCTTGCGACGCTTCTGCTGCCGTCATCTCAAACATGCCCTCCTCCTCGGATGATGCTTGCAAGTGACTTCAGGCTTTCGGGCTTTAGAGGCCTAGAGGCCTAGAGTCGGTTAAGGGGCAAACTGACAGAGAGACGGACAAACGAACAGGCGGACCAAACAGGCAAACAAACAAAGCGCACATACTCTACCAAACTTGCTTCGCGGGATGGATCAGGACGATGCAACGCATCTGCAGCTACTGCTATGCTGCTAGGGCTACTGCTGATGCTAGTGCTATTGCCCCTTACTACTACGGCGACTCATTACCACTACCACTGCCACCAAAACTACCACCACTACCACCACAACTACTGTTGCTGCCGCTGCTGCTGCTGCTGCCACGGCTATTCCCGACTACTGCTACTCCCTGCTCCTCCTGTAGTACCCTGTATAGGGCCCCCACTGACCCACTGACAGAAAACTGGAGCCGAGGGTAACCCGACACCCTGAACCCAAGCCCGCTTCCGAGCTTCAAAGGTCACGCGGCTGCTGGATGCGACCTGGCCAGGGCTGTTGGTTTAGGGGTTAGGGGAATTAGGTGTGGACAGCAGACCAATCGCGGTGCATGATATTTCTGTATAGAAAGGAAGCGACCTAGACAGTAAGATGCATCATCTCACCCTCTAACATAAGCCGCACTGCTTGCCGGATATCGCTGATATCGCTCGTTCAAAGTACGCATGTATGTATGTATGTATGTATGTATGTAGGTAGGTAGGTAGGTAGGTAGGTAAGCATGCCTGCATGCATATGTATATATATATATATGTATGATGTAAGTAAGTATGTATGTATGTATGTATGTATGTACGTATGCATGTATGCATACACGTCTGTATGTATGTATATGTATATGTATATGTACATGTACATGTACATGTACATGTACATGTACATGTACAGGTACAGGTACATGTATATGTATATGTATATTCATATGTATATGTATATGCCTGTACGTACGTATGTGTGTGCATGCATACATGAATGCATGCATGAATGTCTGTACTAAGGTGCGTGCGTGTCTCTACATGCGTGTGTTTGTGTGCGCGCAAATGCGCGTGCTGGTGCGCATGTGTGTGTGTGTGTATATAATATATATATATATATCCACAACACACACACACACACCGTTACACACGAAGCAGAAGAGGGAATCGAACCCCCAAACCTACCAGTCTGCGAGCGAAACGCTGTTTCATGGGGATTCTAACTACTACCTTAGGGCTTCGGGTTTAGAGGTTGCTTGCCCGACTGTTTGGCGAAGACCTAGGTCCTTGCTACCAGTCTGAACGCGAATGCCAATGAATAACTTATCATGACTGTGCCTATCATGTAGACTGTTGTTTATGTTGTGGGCTTCTATTGCTGTTCTTGCGGCTGCTGCTGCCGTTGCTGATGCTGATGCTGTTGCTGCTGGTGCTGTTGCTGTTGCTGCTGCCGTTGCAGTTGTTGCTTTTACTGTTGCTGATGTTGCTGCTGCTGTTGCTGTTGGTGTTATTGCTTTGCTGCTTCTGCTGCTGCTGCTGGTGGTGGTGGTGGTGGTGGTGGTGGTGGTGGTGGTGGTGGTCTGCTGTTGTTGCTGCCGTCGCAATTGGCAATGCTGTGCGGTGGTGGCTGTTGTTGTTGCGTTGCTGCTGGTGTTGTTGTTGTTGCTGTTGTTGCTGCTGTTGTTGTTGCTGTGGGTGTTAGTGTTGGTGTTGTTGTTGCTGCTGCTGCTGCTGCTGCTGCTGTTACTGTTGTTGCTGGTGTTCCTGTTGCTGTTGCGTTTGCTGTTGGCGGTGCCTTTGTTGCTGTTGCTGTTGCTGCTGTTGTTGGCTTTGTTTTTGTCATTCATGCGTTGCTTGTCGGCGTGCTGTTTGTTGTTTGTTGGCTTTGTTGTTGTTGTTGTTGGTGGTGGTGGCGCTGGCGGTGGCGGTAGTTGTGGTGGCGGTGGCGGTGGCTGCAGGTTGTAGTTTGTTGGTTATTGGTTGTGAATGTTGCTGTTGCAGTTGATGCTGATGTTGTTGTTTGTCTTCTGGCGATTATTTTGTTGTTGTCTGGTGGTGGTTATTGCTGCGAAAAGCAGTGTTGCTATTTATGCTCTCATTGTTGTTGTTATGGCTGAAAAGGTGTCAATTCTGCAACTTGTCATTATCATGATTGCGGAAGCAAGGAATAGCCGTGATCCATCTAACCCCCCTAAACCCTAAAGCCCTAAACCCGTTTGCCCTCGTCCCATTCCAACTCAAGCCTCCAGCTGCTCCTCTGCAGACTCCACTCGCTCGACGGCTGTACCTGGTTCCAGAAGGCTTCCGAGTTGAGTCTTTCGTATGTTTCATTCACCTTTTTGCCTCGCGCCTGACTAGGACGCATCTACGAAGCAGGGTCAGATATGTCCTTTCACATTTTGAGTTTATAGGGTTTAGGTGTTTAGGAGGTAGGGTTTAGGGCCCAAGCGTGCTTTGACGTGAACAGCTTCCTGTGAGGGGTGCCGCTTCGAAATTGTGCAAACCAACTGAAATCTGTGCAAACCACTGCATGTACGGCATCTTCTTGTTGATTTGCACTTGAAGGGCTACGGAGTACGTAAGCTTTGCAGGTCTGTGTCATGGCTGATGCCGCCTGCACCCGCAAGACTTAACCCCTACCTCCTCGTCGAAAGCCGCGAAACACCCGAACTGTCAACGCAATCAGCAGCAACGCCTAGCGCACCTCCTCTGACCGTGAGAGCCTTGACACCACAGGCCCTGGTTCTTGCAGTGTCTTACAGAAAGCACGGTTTAGGGTTTAGGGTTTAGTACAGTAAACCTAGCTGTCTCCATGTCTACAACGACAAATGACCCATCTTAATGCAGCAGGCTTATCCACACCCCAAAAAACCCTGAGCCTGAGAGTCAGCCACTTCGTCTCAACCCTAAACCCTAAACCCCAAAAACTTAGTCTCAACCTGGGCCAAGGAGCGCAACATCTTGTGACACCGGAGGTCCTCCCGAACGTCACGCAAACGGGTGCCCACAGCGTCCAGGCCTCAACGTGTTGTGCCTACTACAGGTGGCTTCATACTTACAGACTTTGGGGTGCAAGACAGTATGCATGCATGTATATGTGTATGTGTATGTGTATGTGTATGTATATGTATGTATATGCATGTATATGTATGCATGTATGTATGTATGTATGTATGTATGTATATAGATATGCTACATCATACGTCTATAGACTGCCCATAATTAGGGATTTGGGGGCCCCGTGTGGGAACAGTTTATCGGAAATAGCCTTGCCAAGATCCGCTTTCGTGGAATGAAGCCTTGGTCAACCAAGACCTTTCTTATACGCTTGGTGCAAAAAGGTAACCAGCCGAGTCTTCAAGGTGGCTTCTTCGGCCCCCTGACGGCGCCAATACAATCCCCTAAGCACAGGAAAGCTGCCTTACTGGTACAGCAAGCACCGGTACCCACACCTGGGTTCTCTAGATCTCTGGATGGACACCGACGGTCTTAAGCCGAAAAGCCTTTAAACCCATCCTTAGCTCTAAACCATGTACACAAGCCTATAAAGCCGTTACTGTAAGGGGCATTTCGCGGAACCCTTAGACCCGAGCCTGTCTTGCAGGCCACCAGCCGGGAGCGAAGTTCTTCCACCTCTTTGGGTGCGCCGGAGCTTCCCGGTGCCGGCTTGCACAAGGCATCCTCGTTGGAGAGTGGGAGCGGTGCGGGGTTGGGTTTAGGGCTTAGGACTCAGGGTTTGATTGTGTTTGATGTGGGTCGTAAAGCTTTTTTCATACGGCTCTTAGAGGGCTTGAGAGTACTCAAAGGGCGCCATACCCCTTGAAAATCTGATGTGGTTAGACTCATAATGGGATGCTCCACGTAATTTCAGAAACATGCCCCTTAGTCAGTCATGTTGCGCGGTTTGCTTCTAAGGCTGGGCATCTCGGCCGAGTCACAAACAGCAAGAATAATCTAGGGCATTGAGCTCTCTCTCTCGGCCGGCTTTTGAAATTGGAACCCCCATTTTAAGGGTTAGGGACCCAAAACCGAAAACTCTAGACCCCCCAAAACACCCTTTTGAGCAGATGGCTGCAACTCAATAAACTCCGAAAGCACCATTCCCCATAACCATGGTACGTAACCCAGGAGCTGCTCATAGAACATTGCACAGAACCCTAGAGTACTCAAAGATGAAGGTCTCAACTTAGGGCTTTGGATGATCCCCCAATCTACAAAAGGATTCGGCCTTTGACATTTGGATCTTCAGAGCTTCGAGGTTCGTATATATATATATATATGGGGGGGGNNGGGGGGGGGGGGGGCGGCGATGATGAGAATACGGCTTGGGGGTGCATGGGGTCTAGGGCTTACGGGTGGTAGTAGATACTGGGGAACCCGTCTAGGTTCCCTGAAAGGAACCCTGATAGACGCCCGTGAAGGAACCTTGATAGGCAACCCTTAAAGAAACCAGTACAGTAAGGGGGTATTACCACCCGTCCTGGGACTTCTTGATCGCTGCCTTGGCTGTGGCACAAACCCGGAGAATCCGACAGGAACTGTTTTGGAGCCGGGGACGTAGGGAAGTAGTGTTTTTTTTGCCTCCCACCTTGCCAGGACGA